GTCCAACCCCAGAGATACATTTGGTCAGTTTCCCTGAAGCACATGGACTAAGAGCGGTAAAGGTAGGTTATAAAATTAAAACATAAGAAATACTAGGAAGAGAGAAGGGGGAAGTAGATGTTGTATAGGTGACTTGACAATGTCCATTATACATCTGGTCCTGTGGAACATAGAAAAGGAAGAGGAAAAACAGAGGTCATTATACTTGTAGCAGGGTTCAGACCCACTCACTGAGTGATACTGTTGTGATCCATGTTTGTTCAGACAACGCTCTGAGATACAAAATGATTCCAGTTTCCCTTATAGGAACAAGCTAGGTGTGTTAGATTGTATTTTCCAGAATGATTATGACAGTGTCTCCCATTCCACAGGCTCCTTTTGCAATGTGACTTCACTGCATCTACCATCAAGAAATGGGGTCTAGTCCTGACTGCGGTGCCTCAGTGGGTTGAGCATCGTCCTGCAAAGCAAAAGGTTGCCAGTTCAATTCCTGGTCAGGGCACATGCTTAGGTTGCAGACCAGGCCCCTGGTTGGGGTAGTGCAAGCAGCTACCAATCGATGTTTCTCTCACACATCGATGTTTCTCTCTTTCCTTTTCTCTCTCCCTTCTCTCTCTCTAAAAATAAATAAATAAATAATCTTTTTAAAAAAGAAGTGGGGTCTATGTGCCCTCCTCTTGAATCTAGGTGAAAATAATGTTATGTTGACTTCTGAGCTTATAAACGGTGATAAAACTTCTACTTAGTTCTCTCTGGGGACACTTGCTCTTAACTGAGCCACCATACTGTGAGGAAGTTCAAGTAGCCCATGGAAAGGCCCATATGGAGGAACCAAATCTTCTGGTTCACAGTCCTTGCTGAACTCCCAGCCAACACCTAGCACCAACTTGCCAAGTATGCCAGTGAACCATCTTAAAAGTGGATCTTTAACCCCATGTTGATCCATCCCAGATGGTATCACATGGGGTAGAGTCAAGTTCTCCCTGAAAGACCTTGCCAGAATTTCAGATTGTTGAGTAAACTAAAGGATCCCTGTTGTTTTAAGCCACTGAATTTTGTAGTTGTATTACATAGCCATGGATAATTGATACAGCAAGCAACAATAGACAATGACTGTACAGCCAGATCAAACCTGTCATTCCTCCCATCCCTAGCTACATACATTATGAGAAAAAAAATGCCCAGACATGACTATGGTTTAACTTTTTATTATGGAAAACTTCAAACATACATAAAGTAAACAATGAACCCTTATGTATCCATCACCCAGTTTCAACAATTATCATCAATATGTGATTCTTATATTATTTGTATATCCACCCAGTTTCCTACCTGTTCTCAACTATATTTTTTAGGTAAAATTCACATGAATTCAAATGCACAAATCTTAGCTGTATAATTTTGACAATGGATACATCCACACCACAGTCATTTTCCAACTCCCCAGACATTTCCCTTGTTTCCCTTTCCAGCTAAGCCTTCTATATCAGTCAAGTTCCAATGAGGAGAAATCACACCAGTAATTTAAAGAAAGAACATTTATTCTATTCTAACAATTAAATTCTAGTAAATAATTTAATTCAGAGTTGCGCTAACACCAATAATTTTAATAGAACAAGAATTAACATGTTAGAGAAAACAAAAAATGATAGACAAAATCAATGAAAAGATGCAGAATTTTAATTGGAATGTACAGAGTATGAAAAAGAATCAAATGGACATTCTAAAACTGAAAAACATACTGTCTGAAATGAAGAACTCATTTGATGTTAACAGTAGACAGGACACAGCATGAAACAGATTCAGTAAGCTCAAAGACAATCAATAAAAAATATCCAAACTTGAGCACAGAGGGAATAAAGAAAAAAGAACAGAGCAAAAGAGACATGTAGGACAAAGAAAACAAAACTGAACGTGTTTGTTATGGGAGTCCCAGAATAAGAGAGAATTGGGTAAAAGAGATGTTTGAAAATAACCAAGAATTTTCTACAACTGATGAAAAATTAATCAACAGATTCAGCAAGCTCAGTAAATCAAGCAGGATTTTTTTAAATCAGCCTCTATTCAAGGGGTTTGCAGGTAAGTGGTATTCCAAGTAAACCAACAGGTTTTATTTAAGACAGATGTTTGAAGTTCAGAAGAGGTTAAACATCAGGGAAATCTGTGATGAAAGATTAAGTATTCCAAAACTCACAGAAGAAGGATTTTAGAAGAGTGTGAGGCCTGGCAAATTGGTTCAGATGGACAAATGTACAGGGATATGAGGCACAGAGGGATTCACCCTGGTATTTGCTTAGGGGAAGTAGGTAACCAGGTTAAGGAGGGTATGTGGGGCCCCAGAAGACTGCTTGCTTGCACTGGCTGGCAACATGGTAGCGGATGTTAATGAAGGACTCCTCAGGAGAATATATACCTTAGGCAATGGGGAGGACTTCTGGGGGCCTCCTTTTACTGGGGGCAGAGCAATACAGTAGGCTGGTGAGGAAGTGCTCACACTCAGAGGAAGAACCATGGATGCCTCTTACAGCTTTGTAGTGTTATAGCAAGTGGAGAGAGCAAGGTGAAGAGAGGCTGTCACTTCCCTGATGTGCCCTGGCCCTCAGCTCAGTGCACTTCTGCTATCTGTTCCATGGCCAGCCTGGACTGTCATCACTCAGAATGGCTCTATCCTGAGTCTTAAATACAAATACTCCACTTTCTGACCCCTACCTCCTACTTTTCCAGCCTCCTCACTCAATCACTATCTCTATCCCTCTTCACTCACCCCTTAGGAACCTCCACTTTCTACCCATATATCAGTATCATGTCTTATTCTCATTCCCTACCCAGTCCTTAGAGTCGTTGGTCCATCACTCCAGGCACTCTCAAAAATGTAGTGCCCTCATCATTGCCCTTCCATTCCATATGCCTGGCAAACTCCAATCCTGGATGAAGTCAACTTGTATTTCTTTACCTACATATGGTTTACTGAGTGCTACTTGAGAAAAATTACACAATTGGCAAGATGAGTACCATGCACTCTACATATTTTCAAACATAATTAAATAAAGGTAAAACATAAATGAAATGGCTCACAAAAAATTAAAATACAGATATATAGAGTAAAAAATTAGAGTTCTCCTTTAAAACCATCCCCCAAAACATTTGCTGTAAATAGTTTGGCATATGCTCTATGCATGTATTATTGTCTTAAATATAGATATACATATATATATACACCTATACATACATATGTGAAATAACATAGGTAGCTAGATTGTAGTAGACATTTTGTTGGGCAACTTGTATTTTCTTTTTTTTTAATTTAATATGTTTCGGGGAGCTTTTCTTCTCAAAAGCTACAGATATAGCTAATTCTAAATACATGACATCCTGTTCCTGTATTCACATGTAGGTTTTTTACTATTTTCATTATTCAAAAATGTTATAATGAATATCCTTGTACATCCCTCTGATCACATATGCAGGCATACCTCCAAAGTGTATCCCTAGAAGTGGAAATGTTTGATCAAAGGGTAGATGTATTTGACATTTTAATATATACTTCTAAATTACCATCTAAAAAGCGGGGGAGGCTGTATCAAATTGCCCTTCTAACTGCATAGGAGAGTTTCTACCCCAGCTAGGCTATCAACACTGCCTGCCTCTCCTCTTTCCTTCCCTAGACGTCTATCAGTCTCACTCTGTTCTCTCCATCCTCATCCAAACATGCACATTCTTGGCAAATATCTCACCAAATATTCGAAGAAATAAGTAGAAGTCACTAGAGGAGAACTTTCTTGGCTTCCTACCCCCAAACCTACAAAGCCTGCCCACTGCTATCCTGTCCTCCTTCCCTCCCTTTAAGTGGGTGAGAGTTGGGGACAGTCCTTCCTCCAGTTTAAGGAAATCCTGGGTGTGGGGTCCCTCCCTTTACAAAGGGCTGGCTACCTTCACTTTCAAGGTGTTTGCGTCCCCTCTCTGCTTAGCTAATGTCAATCCATCTTCTGCCTGTATCGGCTCGCCTGGGCCCAAATCCACTACATCCCTTCAGGGTCTTATCTTGAGCAACACTATTTCCCACTCTCTTCGTAAAGGTACACTCTCCTGATTTCCCTCCTCTGTCTCTAGGGCACTTCTTTCTCACGCCTGATCTTGTCCTCCAACTCCTCTTGTCTAAATATGCAAAGGTGGAGTTTGGATTTCTGTCCTGAGGCTCTGTGCTCTTTCTCCCTGGGAGATGTCACCCATTCACGGGATGTCCCGGGGTGTGTCAGCCACTATCACCCCTGTCTGCTCCCGGATCTCTACCTTCAGCCCAGACCGCCTACCTGACTTCATCTTCTCTCACTCCGCTCCTTCTTTCCACTCCCGCTCCCCGCCAAACCCTAGCCCCTCCTCCAGAAAATCCTTTCGATTTCCCCCTTTCCTAACGCCGCCGCCGAGTGGCTCCAGTACCTCGCAGACCTGAGGAATGTAGTTCTCCTTGAAGTAATTTCTCAGCCTGGGGCTGGCCCTGCGTAGTGAGGACATGGCAAGAGGACTCTGCTCTACACGCCGGGAGTAGCAGAAACCTCTCCTGCACCTGGGCTGGCGCGTCCGGGCGTTGACACGGCAACCGCGGGGCGGGGTGCGGCGGACCAAGGCTGGTCTCCCTACGCAGTGGGCAGCGGGAGGAAGGCGGGCCTCGGGCCAGAGGGTGGTGTGGGCACGCTCGGGCCAGAAAGGAAGTACTAGGAAGGTCTCCCCCGGGCGGTGGCAGTCCCCCTTTGTCCCCTTAGGGTCATGCAGTGTGGCAGGTCTTCCCGGAGTCAGGATCTCCCCTACCAGCCCTTCCCACCTCGGGGAGCCGCCGGCAAGTGTGGCGGCCGCAGTGGGCGGTTTTACTATTTTCGCAGGGCTGTTTCCGGGAGGCGGAGCTCAGACTCCCATTTTTCTTCTCCTTCGGCCGTTCAGCTCCGTCTCGGCAGGCTGTGAAGCTCACGAGCTTCCCCTGCCAGGCCGTGCGCTGCGCCCCGGCCCCAGCGGCAGCATGGGCGGCGCCCGGCACGCGGGCTGGGTGGCGGCGGGCCTGGTCCTCGGGGCCGGCGCCTGCTATTGTATTTACAGGTTGGCGCGGAGCCAGCGGCGAGGTAGACAGAGGTTTCGTCTGGCTTCCTCCCAGTCCGCAGGTGAGGCCTCGGGGAACCGGGGGCGGGGTCTGGGGCTATCCCAGGGGCCGTCGTTGAGGACGCCGCGGGCTTTCCTTCCTTTCCTGTGCTCTGGGTGAAAAAAGAAGTCGAGCCGAAGGAAGGAGGAAGGCCCAGGTGCTGAGGGCGTAGCGTCCTCTGGATGGGGGTAGGGTTCTGAGCCTCTTCCCTGCCTCCACTTCTTTGTTCAAAATCCTGCGATGAAATATTGTCCAAACTTTCTGCCTAGTCCGTCATTACAGCTGAGGATTAGGTTTTTCAAGAGCATGTTGATTGTCTGTCACGTTAAAGCTTGCTCCCGGCCTTTGTGCTACCAAAGGGAGCCCCCCGAGTGTGGGCGGGGTTTTGTGGGGGCTAGGGCAGTAGAAATTCTGCGAGCAGCTGCCCTGGAAGAAAGAAGGCCAGAGACAGTTCTGCCTGGACTCAGCATGGCCTCTGAGAGGGGAGGTACCTTGAAGTCACCGTAGTCCATCTATATACAGAATTGTAGAGGAGATACTGGAGATGAATGTATGATAGACATAGCTATTTCAAAATGGAACAGTGGTCTGCGTGGGGGGACGCTCTCCTGGTGGGTAAGTAAGGAATTAGGTTTCTCTCCAGAAGTTGGTCGATGCATTCAGGATTCTAACAATTTGCTGAGTGTTCTGGAGGGATATTTCAGATAATGGAAGTTGTTAGGAAAATAAGCAAAATCTGCCAACCAGAAGAAACTCCTCTCTACAAATGGAGAAAAGAACTATTATAAATAGCTTTATTATTGAATAAACATTCAACCAGATTGCTACACCCATCACAGGCAATCTGGTAATAGGATTGGAAAGACAAAGAATTCTTGCCCTTTTATGTTCACAGGCAGACGTAACCTATTTCATATTTCATACGTGGTCTCATGATAAACAACTTGTCTTTAAGAGGACTTGACAGCAGTATCTGCTAGAGGAAAGTGCCCACCTCCCTATATACATACAGTTCATCCTAAATTCACTGGTCCTTGGGCTGGCTATTTGTTAGCCTTTATCCACAGGGAAAATGAGACTTCTCCTTATCTTCATGATAGACAGATGGTTACAACATGGAGCCAGGTGCCAAGCCTAAATTCGGAGACAAGGAAATCAGCTTCATCTGATCTTCCTTGATGTTTAAACTTTAAACAGATAATCCCAAAGCCCCTAAGAAAGACGTTCTTGGATTGTAAAGTGGCAATAGGTTTACTTAGCTTTCTAAGAGATGTATATTTATGTCAAAGGGACAGATAAAGGAATTACAAGTTTGCTCCCGGAAATGCTGTAAGAAAAGGGAGTGGATAGGGAGGTCTCTTTTTCTTTTTGTACAAGAGAAAAAAATCCCCCCCTTTTTTTTCCTTTAAAGATTTGCATTTATCCTTACTTACAAAGCCTAATGAGTAGTCTTTGTGTCAGAGATATTCCTGTATAATTGGTCAGGGGGCTTGGACTCATACCTTCTCTCTTACACTGATGAAGACTGGCAGCCTTACTTTAAAACTTAATTTTACCAGTTTCCAAAATCACCATTACCTTAGGTCAGGTAGCTTACAAAATAAGTTGCTCACAGTTCCTTCTTCCAGAAACCACACCTTTATATCTGAAGAAGACCGAGAAATACCCATTTTGTCAGCATCATGCTTAGATTTTAGAGGGTGATCTTTTTTAAATTGAGGTACAATTAACATATAACATTTAGTTTTAGGTGTACAATATAATGATTTGATATACTCGTATGTATATATTACAAAATGATCACGACACATAATTATACCTTTTTTTTTCTTGGGATGAGAACTTTTAAGGCTTACTTCTTAATATTGTTAACTGTATATAATATTGTTAACTGTAGTCACCAAGTTGTACATTACATCCCCAGGACTTATTTGTCTTGCAATGGATGTTTATGCCTTCACCCATTTTATGAATGGAGCCACCACCACATCCTTCGACCACCACTACGTCTAGCAACCACCAGTCAGTTCTCTGTATCTGAGTTCATTTTAGAGTCTACATGTAAATGAGATAGTTTGTCCTCCTTTGTCTAGCTTATTTCATTTAGCATAATGTCCTCAAGATCAATCCATGTTGTCACTTATGGCAGGATTTCCCTTTCATGGCCAAATAATATTTCATTCACACACACACACACACATACACACACTCACACTCACATGCGTATACACATATGCACATGCCCCTTTTTCTTTAACCATCTGTCAATGGGCACTTAGGTAGTTTCCATAAATTGTAAATAATGAACAAGGGGGTGCAGATATCTTTTCAAAGTAGTGTTTTCTTTAGACAACACCCAGACATAGAATCGCTGGATTTATGGTAGTTCTAGTTTTTGAGGACCCCCTGTGCACTTCTCCATAGTTGCTGCACCAATTTACATTCCCACCAACAGTACACAATGGTTCCCTTTTGTCTGCATCCTCACCAACACTCATTACTTCTTGTCTTTTTGTCATCTCTTTGATGATAGACATTCTAGCAAGTATGAGGTGATAGCTTATTTGTGTGTGTGTGTGTGTGTGTGTGTGTGTGTGTGTGTGTGTTTGTATTTTAATCCTCACGTTAGGACACTGTTCCCATTGCTTTTTAGAGGGGGGGGAAAGGAGAGAGAAAAAGAGAGAGAAACATTGATGTGAGATAGTAACATCAACATCAACTGGCTGCCTTCTCAGATGTGCACCAAATTGGGGGATCAAACCTGCAACCTAGGTATGTGCCCTGACTGGGAATCAAATCCACAACGTTTTGGTTTTGATTTGGAGCATGGGACGATGCTCCAACCAACTGAGCCACACCGGTCAGGGCCACATTGTGGTTTTTAATGTGCATTTCCCTGGTGGACTTGTTGGCCACGTTTGTGTCTTTGGAAAAATATCTATTCAGATCTTCTGCCCATTTCTGTGTGTGTGTGTGTGTGTGTGTGTGTGTGTGTGTGTGTGTGTGTCAGGTTTTGGTTTTTTGGCTATTGAGTTGCATGAGTTCTTTATATATTTTGGATATTAAACCCCTATCAGATACATGATTTGCAAATATTTTCTCCCATTCCATAGGTGACCTTTTCATTTTGTTGATTTCCTTCACTGTGCAGAAGCTTTGTAGTTTGATGTGGTCCCATTTGTTTATTTTCACTTTTGTTTTTGTTTCTTGGTATCAGATTCAAAAATTCATGCCAAGACCTATGTTAAGAAGCTTAGTGCCCATGTTTTTTTCCAGAAGTTTTATGGTTTCAGGTCTTTCAAGTCTTTAGTCCATTTTGAGTTGATTTTTGTGCATGGTGTAAGGTAGTCCAGTTTTATTCTTTTGCATGGAGCTGTCCAATTTTCCCAACACCACTTATTGAAGAGACTGTCCTTCCCCACTGTATATTTCCGGCTCATTTGTCATTCTTTAATTGATCATGTATATGTGAGTTTATGTATGGAGTCTTTAAGGTTTTTCTTTGTATCATTCTCTCTATCTGCAAATAATAACAGTTTTACTTCTTTTCCAATTTGGATGCCTTTGTTTTCCTTTTCTAATTGCTTTGGCTAGGGCTTCAAATACTGTTTTAAATAAAAGTAGCAAGAGTGGACATCCCTGCCTTGTTGCTGATCTTAGAGAAAAACTTTTCAGCTTTTTACCGTTCAGTATGATGTAAGCTATGGGCCTGTCATATGAGGTCTTTATTATGTTGAGGTACCTTCCTTCTATTCTTGTTTTTCCATCTATTGAGATGATAATATGATGTTTATCCCTTATTTTGTTGAAGTGGTATATGACATTAACTGGTTTGCTGATGTTGAACCATCCTTGCATCCCTAGAAAAAGTTTCGGTTGATCCTGTTATATGAACTTTTTAATGTATTATTGAATTCAGTTTGGCTGTATTTTGTTGAGATTTTTGCATCTGTGCATCAGAATTATTGGCCTGTGACTTTCTTCTCTTGTGACATCTTTGTGTGGTTTTGACAGCAGGGTACTGCTGGCCTTATGAGTTTGAAAAGTTTCCTCTTTCTTGGTTTCCATTTATTTCTGTTCTGGTCTTTATTTTATTCCTTCTACTAATGTTCACTTCATTTGTATGTTACAATTGAAGTGTGCTCCTTAGGTCATAGCTATGAAGATAAGCAAATAGGCCTCTTTCTGGGGGAATAACTGCTCTGCTGGGCCCTGTGTTAGCAGCGGCAGTGTGCACAATCCCTTTAAATAACTGCCTCTTAATTCTTCATAGCCTGTGGTTCTTGTGGATGCAAGCCCCATTGGCTTGCAAAGCTAGATGTCTTGGGGACCCATCTCTCAGGTGGGAGTCTTAAAAACTGAGGCACAGGATGTGGCGTGCAATCCTTTTTCTCAGGGAGAATTTAGAAGTATGAATTTCCTCCCAGTTGTAGCAAGGGTAGGTTTTATGACAGTTTTGTCTCTGTATTGATGTAGTTTTTTTTAATTTGCCCAATGTGTAGGAGTCTCTCAGAGTCTGGATTTCTTTCAGAGGGCATTGTGCCCAATGTACTGTAGATTCAGCTCGTCTTTGGAAGGAGGTGAATTCAATATATTTTATAATACCATCTTGCACCAGAACCAGGTGATCTACTCTTTGTCTTAAAGTTTAAGGAATTTATAATTCCTATACTATCACGACTGTTTGAGAGCATTGAAAACAATGGAAACCATCGCAATTCATTCAACAACCTAATACTAAAACCTGACAAGGATAGCATAAAAAGACTGTAAATTTGTCTCTATTATGAATAAAAATATAAAAATCTTAGACTTCTGGCCAAGATGCGGGTGTAGGTAGATACACTTTACCTCCTTGCACAACCCGGAGAAGGACAACAACAAATTTAAAAACAAAAAATAACCAGAACTTCCAGAAAATAGAACTGTATGGAAGTCCAACAGGCAAAGAGTTAAAGAAGAAACATCCAGACCAGTAGGAGAGGCAGAGACAGGCAGCCAGGGCGTGGCAAGGCAGCAGTTGGTGAACTGGGCTGTCCCACAATTGTCTGCAGATAAACCTAGAGGAGCAGCTGAGGTGTGAGACAGACCATGAAACCCAGGGTTCCAGCGCAGAAAAAGAAAGCCGCAAAACCTCTGGCTTTAAAAACCTGTGGGGGATGCAGCAGAGGAGAAACTCCCAGCCTCACAGGAGAGTTCATTGGAGAGACCCCCAGGGTCCTAGAATGTACACAAACCCACCCACCCAGGAATGAACACCAGAAGGGCCACATTTCCTTGTGGGTAGCAAGGGAAGTGACTGAAAACTGGCTGAGAGCAGAGCAGGCGGCATTGTTCCCTCTCTGACACCTCCTGCACATAGAGCACCGCAACGCAGCAACCTGGGTTGCCTCCCCCAAGCAAATACCTAAGACGCCACCCCTTTCAATGTAAAAGGCATGCTGAGACAAAGAAATATGGCCCAAATGAAAAAAGATAAAAACTCCAAAAAAAGAACTAAGTGGTGAGGAGAAAGCCAACCTCTCAGATGCAAAGTTCAAAACACTGGTAATCAGGATGCTCACAGAAATGCTTGACTATGGTCGCAAAATGGAGGAAAAAGTGAAAGCTATGCAAAGTGAAATAAAGAAAAAATATACAGGGAACCAACAGTAAAGAGAAGGAAACTGGGACTCAAATCAAAGATTTGAAGCAAGAGGAAGAGATAAACATTCAACCAGAACAGAATGAAGAAACAAAATTCAAAAACATGAGGAGAGGCTTAGAGCCTCTGGGACAATTTTAAACATTCCAACCATAGGGGTGCCAGAAGGAGAAGAGGAAGAGCAAGATATTGAAAACTTACTTGAAAAAATAATGAAGGAGAACTCCAATCTGATGTAGGAAATAGACTTCCAGGATATCCGGGAAGCTCAGAGAATTCCAAAGAATTCAGACCCAAGGAAGCACACACCAAGGCACATCATAATTAAGTTACCCAAGATTAAAGATAAGGAGAGAATCTTAAAACTTGAATGCAAAATAAATATACCCAAATCAATAGCTTCTTGTATATAAGCAATGACCAATTTAAAATTTTAATTGACAGGATTTCACTTATGATAGCAATAAAAGCATTAAAAACTAAGAATACATCTAGCAAGAAACCTGTACAAAGATAATTTTAAATAAAGGACATAAGGCTACACAAACAGGAAAGTATGTTATGTTCCTGGCTGGAATGAATCTGTACTGTGACAGTTATCTTGAAATTTATCTTGCTATAACGTTATTTGGTAGTCATTTTTCATTTCCTTTGAGAATTTTAATTTCTCCTCAGTTTACCCATGGTAATGGTGAACCACTGGGTCCAAAATTCTCTCACAGTCTTGCTGGCATGAAGCTAAGTGGAGAACTAGACACGTGTTCACCTCACCTGTGTAATAGTCTCAAAGTTCACCAGTGGAAAAGCTGGGTGCTTTGTGATCACCATCCTCGGAAGGATTTAGACTTTGAGATTTCTTTCTTTACTGAAAAAGCAATGCATGGTTTTTACTAAAAATTCAAACAGAGTATAGGATTTATTTACAAAATTAAATGGGGCTCATCATTTTAATAGATTAAAAGGAATGGTGGTGGTGTATGCGGGGGGAGAGTAATGGACTGGGAGTGAAAAGATCTGATTCTCTGTAGAGCTAGTTTTGTTATCAACCAACTGTGTGTCCTGTTAATAAAAATAATAACTAAAATATTCCATGCTTTCACAGTATTTGAAGCACAAAAATGCTTTGAGGCAGATACTATTAACTCCCATTTTACAAATGAAGAAACAGGTTTAGAGAGGTGTCTCAGATGGTAATTAGCTTAGCTAGAAATAGGTGGAAATTCTATGGTTCAACTTTTTTCCCTGTAAAATTTTATTTAAACATTTTAAATAATTTATACAATATATCTATAAAACTTTTTTTATTGGGTTGTCCAAAAAGTCTGTTTAGTTTTTTCTGTAAAATAAATAGACACATTTTTCATTTTCACCAATAACTTTATTGATTTGGATACTTTGGGTATGTCCTCTATCTCCCACTGTTGGCTTCTAGTGGGTAGGGCCAGGGGTGCTGCCAAACACCTTCCAATGCATAAGACAGCCCCACAGCAAAAAATTGTTTGGCCAAAATGTCAAGAGTCATTTTGACCAAGAAGCTTCACAAACCACTTTTGACATGTTCAATCAGTCACAGCACCTTCTCTATACTCTGCACAAGTCTTTTTTGTGTTTCTATCCCTCTTGAAATAATAAAGCATAGTACACTAAAAATGTTGCACCATCTTCAATATTAAAATAGTTGCACAAAAATATACCAATTTTGATTTTTTTTAAATGCACACTGATATGACAGCTGTCACAATAGAATTTAACAAAATTGTTTCTAATGAAGTTAGACAACTAAGCACTACTAGAGCCATCTTATGGAAAAAAACTAAAGAAACTTTTTGACCAACCCAATGAAAATGGCTTTTTGTGGGAACATACAAGGAAAAAAATAGAATTTTGACATGTCTTAGAAGTATGACTGGGTTAAATTTATTATATTTCTGTCATATGTATGTGTATGAAATCACACAATTTCCAAGTTGCATAAGAACCTTTGGAACCAGTTATAGTCTTAGACCAACCCTTTTATTTTGAGAGGAGAAAATTGAGACCCAAAAAGAGGTTAAATGACTTGGCTACAGCTTTGTATTTTCAATTCTTTGGTCTCTGCTACTAACTCCTGTGTGACTTTAAGCAAATCTTAAAATGACCTTGGCTTTCAGTTTCTTTGTGTGTAAAATTACGGTTTGGATGAACCTTAAAATTTTTGTCAGTTCTAGAAATGTGTTTTTGTCATTCTTTCACTCATCTTTTCAAGTATTTTTGGGGTGGAACTCTGTTATATAAGGTATAAATGAGTGAATTCAGGAGTAAAAACAGGGCCCAGAGATCCTGATAAGACTTTGGAGTGAGAATCTGCTAGCTTTTCAGCTTTCATATTTTCCTAACAGCTGATTTCTTATTTGGCTTCTTCAGTACATCCTATCGTTTATTGTTCCCATAGTCTATATTTGTCCCTTTCCCTCCTATTTTTTGTGATTCTCCTTCAAGCAGTAGACTTAATTATTTTAATTACAGCAGTAATACATATTGTTTACAACAGTAAAACTTGTTTATTGTTTTTAAAAAACCAGAAAGTACACATTAGCACAGGGTAGAAAATAAAGGTCGTTTTTTATTTATTTATTTTTTCAATAAATTTATTTTTACTTTTTGTAAAAGTTGTTTTTAATTCCAGCACCCAGAGATAACCACCTATGATAATTTGGTACATATTTTTTTAAAGAGAAGTACAGATGTGACATCACATAGTACCTATTTTGTATAACTTTCTCCTCTTCCCCACCCCCAATAGTGTATTGTGGAAACATGCACTGTCTGACCTGTAATCATAGTGTTACAAAAATGGTTTCGTTTTTCTTGTGGTAATTTCTGCAAAGAGGAGTTTTTTAAAGGTTAGAGCTATACATTCTAAAAAGTCACTGAGCACATCTAGCATTTGGCTATTCCAGCATTTACTCAGAATGACAGCTTTTCTTTTGTCAGCTCCCCCAGCAGGACAGGACTGTTATGTAGCATCCCTGTCAGCAATGGCTTGTTCATATAAACCAGACAAAAATGCCACACCAGATATACTCTGATTTCTTTTCAGATAGTATAAATCTTTCATCTTTTACAAAGATGCCACCCCAGAAACATGATTGGGTTACTCCCCTAACCTTTTCTCCTGCCAGAGAGGCTTTTAAAGTGGTAATCAGAAAAGGTCTGCTTAATGCAAATCCCATTCCTACAGGCAAGAGTTTCATTGGATGTTTGTACTTGATTTTTAAAAGAAACAAAAAATGCAGTTGGCATTAGAGGTGTGTATTATTTGCATGTAGTGTCTTACTAAAATACCAAGTGACTAATTTCTTAATGTCTATAAGCCTCAGCTTTCCCACCTGTAAACTGAGAATTACAGTAGTATCTTCTTCCCAGGGTTACTTAAGGATTAAATGAGATAAAGCATATAAAGTGCTTAACACTGTGTTTGGCATCAGAGCATTTAATACTGTTTCTAAAATGTTTTAAATCTCATACTGACTTTAGAGGAACTCTAAATAATTTTCTTCTTATTGCAGAAGACTTAACCAATGGTTCATATGATGATGTCCTAAATGCTGAACAACTTCAGAAACTCCTTTATCTGCTTGAGTCAACTGAGGATCCTATAATTATTGAAAAAGCTTTGGTCACTCTGGGTAACAATGCAGCCTTTTCAGCTAACCAAGTAAGTACCCTAGTGTCAACAACAGGCCCCCTCATTCTTACACACCAGCAGTAATTGTGACCCTGAGGAGTTAACCTCCCACGGCCTCAGTTTCCTAATCTATACAATGTGACTACTTAAACCTATAGAATAGTTTCTTTACTTCTGAAAAGCACAGCTTAATAATGATGTGGTTATTAATAGGTTTCTAGATCCCTATGAAGTAGGTCACAGTATCACATTCATAAGAAGTATCTAATTAACACTTAGCATTGCATGGCCTTTTTAATTATTTAAAATTCAGCAGCAGAACATTTAAGTACATGCTTTACAACGTAAGAACTCTTACACAGATGGTTCTAGTGCAGATGGTCCCTGGATCTCTCTGACAACCACTAACCAATATAAACAGCTTCTACAAATAGAGGCTTGACACCAAGACTAAAGAGCTTAATCTGAATGCTTTCACTTCTGCCCCTACCCCACTCCAATGGAGGAAGAGTAGAAAATTTTTTGTAATTATTTTCAGGTAATGCCCTTTGTTAACATGGTCATGAATACAAAATTAATTTGAATTTATACGTTATTTCAGTCCATTTTTCTCCAGTATGGCAAGATTTACTGTAAAGCTCTAGTGATTTATAATGAAATATAAAGAATATTTGTGTATTGCTCACATTCTTTCGGTTGCAAGTGACAGAAGTAGGCTTAAGTTATTCTAAACCAGAAAGGGGAAATGTTGAGCTCAATTAACTTTGACATCCAAGAATAGCACTGGTTTCAGACACAAGTGAATACAGTTCAAGGCTATGGAAAGTGTTACCAGAGCTCTCTCTATCTTCTGTCTTTGCTTTACCCCTGCTTCCTTTTGTGTGCTGGTCTTTGTCTCTCTGGCCACAAAGAGGTTTTCTTCATAGGGATGGAAACAAAGCAACTGGCCTCTGAAGTCTTCATTCCTGTAGCTCATAATCCAAAAGGTGGAGTTGCCATGCTAGGATCAAGTGCCAATTCTTTGGATCAATCGCTGGGTCAAAGCACCATAGACCATGATTAGCCAAGGCCTGGCTCACATGAGCATCCTGCAGCCAAACAGCAGGGATGGATGTCAACACAGCTGACCAGCAGTCCCCCCAGGGACTATATCGGATAGAGGAGGTGCCACATCTGCCCTAGTGGAAAGAGGGGTACCAGGCAAACAAACACGAAAGAGGATAATCTATTAGCATGCCTATATTGGAGTATTTCTGATGCCATAGTTTATTATCTTTCTGAAACAAAACTGTACTCACACTGAGTCAGTAGACACTGGTAAATAAGTACTTTTTGGGGGTAATGGGAGTTAGTGTCCTTTATCATTAAGTATAGTGCCTTGGTCTGCTTTAGCAGTACAGTAGGGAGAAAAGGAAAAGAAAAGTCTGTTTTCTAGTAACCACATGTCCTTGAGAAGAACTTGAACCTGAAATTGCAGAGGCAAAGTTTTTTTCTCTCTCAGCACTGTGTCTCCTTAATGGTAGAGTAAGGGTGTTGGGCTGTTGGTAAAAATGACAATAATCATTTTCAGTCTCTTTGTCCTGTAAAAATCAAAGCGATTGTGTCTTTCATTGTCAGGGCCAAAGGCACATAGTATCTATCATAGTGTTAACAATTGATTGTGAGAAATTCCCAAATTACTTTTCCTTTGAAAATTTGGAAACTGTTTTTCAAACTCCAGTTCTGCAAGATGTTAATAGATGTTTCTTCCCTCCTCACGGAAAAATGACCCTCTCTTTGTGTACAGTTCATAGATATAGAGTTGACTCCTGAACAGTGCAGGGTTAGGAGCACCAACCTCTGTGCAATCGAAAATCTGCAAATAACTTCACACCCCTCCCCCAAATTTAACTATTTATAGCCTACTGTTGGCCAGAAGCCTTACCAGTAACATAAACAATCAACACATATGTTGTGTTATATGTATTATATACTGTATTCTTAGAATAAGTTAAGTTAGAGAAAATGTCATTAAGAGAATAAGGGAGAGAAAAATGCATTTACAGTTTTTATCAGAAAAAAATATATGTATAAGTGTACCTGTGCATTTCAAACCCACTTTGTTCAGGATTCATCTGTATTATATTCAGTACTCCCCTTGGGGAGCTTCCCAATGCACATGAACATTAATGCATCACAGTAAGGAAACTATTTACTCCTATTATCCCAAAGTTTCTTACACTTAACCATAAAACCTCCCCCTTTTTTTAAATGGAACATTATTAATATCTTGGGGAATTAGTATTACAAAGAATACATTTTAGCAGAACTCTGCCTTAGTATTCTAAATCAGGTCCCCAACCCCCAGCCTGCAGACCTGTTAGGAACCAGACGGCAGAGAGAAGCTTGCCTGGCTCCACCTCCTGTCTGTCCACGGTTCCCCATACTGGCCATGGAAAACCCAATCCCTCCCTGGTGCCCAAAAGTTTAGGGACCACTGTTTTAAATCATAATACTTTTATAAATTTGCCTGTATAGAGAAATCATATAATTTATTTCAAAGTAAAATAATTTTGTTTGTAAATTGCTTTGAGGTCATAACAGTAGTTATGCAAAGCTTTGTATGCTGCCATGCTATAGTTTCAATAATTGCATATCTTAATTTTATTTTCAGTTGATTTATTTTTACCTGTAATATTATGGATGGTAAAATTTTTTAAATAGGAATTCTAGATAGTATATGGAAAAGATATTTCCAAAGAGTCATTAATATTTTGTGTTTGTGGATGCAAAGATTAGTGGATGCATATTTAATTTATGGTCCTGTTTTTTTCCCCTCTTAGGTCATTATATGTGAATTGGGTGGTATTCCAATTGTTGGAAGCAAAATCAATGATCCCAACTACAGTATTAAAGAGAAGGCTTTAAATGCACTGAGTAACCTGAGTGTGAATGTCGAAAATCAAATCAAGATAAAGGTAAGCTATCTGAAATCACAAATATATAAAGTCTTCTATAAATGAAAGAAAAAATAACGAAAAGGTCAGTAAAGAAATTTTAGTGGACTCTCCTTTATAACTTTATGGCCAAGAATTACCCTTTTTTCCCCAGCTCTATTGAGATGTAATTATGATAAAACATTGTGTGAGTTTAAGGTATACAGAATGATGACTGGATACGTGTACATATTACAAAATAATTACTACCGTAGTCTTAGCTAACACCTCTATCATCTCACATAATTACCTTTTATTTTCCCCTGTGGTTAGAACATTTAAAGTCTTTTAGCAACATTCAAGTATACAGTACAGTATCTAAACCATAGTCACCCTGATATATATTAGATCCCTAGAATTTATTCATCTTATAACTAGAAGTTTGTACCCTTTGACCAACATCTCCTCATTTCCCTCAACCCCGGCTCCTGGCAACCACCATGTTACTCTGTTTCTATGAATTAGGCTTCTTAGATTCTGTGTATACGTGAGATCATTTCGTATTTGTCTTTCTGTTTGACTTACTTCACTTAGCATAATGTCCCTAATGTCCATCCACTTTGTTGCAAATGGCAGAATTTCCTTCTCTGTAATGGTTGAATAATATTCCATTGTGTATATCACATCTTCTTTATCTATTTCTCAACAAACATTTAGGTTGCTTCTGTGTCTTGGCTATTGTGAATAATGCCACAGTAAATATGGAGGTAACAGCTATCTCCTCAAGACTGTGAATTGTTCTCTTCAGATAAATACCGAGAAGTGGAATTGCTGCATAATATGGCAGTGCTATTTTTCATTTTTTGAAGAATCTCCATACTGTTTTCTATTGGGGCTGAACCAGTTTACATTGCCACCAATAGTGCACAGGGTTTGTTTTTCTCCATATCCTCACTGAAAGTTTTTTAATTCTTATCTTTTTGATAATAGCCATTCTAAAAGGTATGAGGTGATACCTCATTGTGGTTTTGATTTGTATTTTCCCGATGAATAGTTATATTGAACATCTTTTCATAAACCTGTTGACTATCTGTAGTTCCTCTTTGGAAGAATATCCATTCAGGTCCTCTGCCCATTTTTTAACGGGGAGGATAAGGCAAAGGAAGGAGGGATGTGAACCAGCCAATAAGAGGTGCAATTTAATCCAAGTATGGTAAAGGAGTCAGGCCAGAGGCAGATAACATCAGGAGAAAGATATAACTAATTAGGAAATTATGTTAATTCAACATTTATTGAGCCCCTGATCTGTAGTACAAAGTTAAGAAATGAACATGATTAACATCTTTTTAAGACAGCTAGAATCGCTCAGAACTATTAGAAATTGAGTTGAATGGAAGTCTGACAACTATGGAACTAAAGAACCTACATCAGTCCAGAAGGGTAGGAGGAGACGTGCAATGGGCGGGTCCCCACACCCACTTGTGGTGGATAAAAATTCAGGAGGAATATCTCAGGAGCGAGGGGTCCCAGCCCATGGTTCCAGTGTCAGGAAGGTAAAACCCCATAACTTCTGGCAGTAAAAACCAGAGGGATTTGAGTCAGTTAAATAAACTATTAGACTCCTTGGCAGTTCCTCTTAAAGGGCCTGTGCCGAACTTACTCAGACACATTCCCTCTGAGCTCCAGCATCACCAGGGTAGCAGCTTGAAAGGCACCAGAGGTTTACAGGAAGGAACTGAAGTATCTGGCATCAGGGTGAGAGCCAGAGGACAGCTTTCACCCAGACAGAAAGGTTGGCAGAGGCCATTTTGCCTTTTCTGAGCCCTCTGCACACAGTCACAGAACAGGCAAGCAAGAGCTATATTTGAGACTCCATTGAACTCAGTTCTACTGTTTGTCCAGCCCTGGCATTTACCTGAGGCTCTGCCCTACCCAACTTACAAGCCCACACAACTTACGAGCTTGCCCTCAGCCCTTCCTCCTCTGTCTAAATGGCCCAATGCCTGGCAAAAAACAATCAAGCAGAGCAAGAAGAAGAAAAAACAAAAAACAAATTAGGGTAGGGTAAGGAATCTCTGGGACAACTACAAGTGTACCAACATCCTCATCATAGTGATACCAGAAGGAGAAGAGAAAGAGCAAGGAATTGGAAATGTATTTGAAAAAATAATGAAAGAAAATTTCCCTGATTTGGTGAAGGAAAATAGACATGCAAGTCCAGAGAGCACAGAGAGTCCCAAACAAGATGGACACAAACAAGTCCATACCAAGACACATCATAATCAAAATGCCAAACGTTACAGATAAAGAGAATCTTAAAAGTAGTAAGAGAAAAGCAGTTAGTTACCTACAGAGGAGTTCCTATAAGACTTCCAGCTTATTTCTCAATAGAAATTTTGCAGGCTAGAAGGGATTGGCAAGAAATATTCAGAGTCCTGAAAAGCAGGGACGTATAGCCAAGATGGCTTTACCCAGCAAAGATATCATTTAGAATTGAAGGGCAGATAAAGAGCTTCCTAGAGAAGAAAAAACTAAAGGAGTTCATCATCACCACACCACTATTATATCAAATGGTAATGGGACTTATTTAAGATTAAGAAGATTGAAACTATGAATAATAAAATGGCAGTAAACAAGTACCTGTCAACAATTGAATCTGAAAAGCAAAATTAGCAAACAAAAACAACAGAGTCATGGATACAGAGAAGGTTTTGATGGTTACCAGGTGGAAGTGGGGTTTGGGGGAATGGGTGAAGAGGTGAAGAGATTAAGAGGTACTAACTGGTAGTTACAGAATAGCTATAAAATACAATATAGGGAATGAAATAGCCAAAGAACTTACTCCAGGTCTGTCCAGAAAAAGCCCAACCATTGTTAGTATAACAAAAACTGTTTGCCTGACATCAATATAACCTGGCAGCCAAGGAGAGTGAACAGGAATGTGCATGTGTGAACAATGATGATTTCACTGTACTAGTCAGTTGGGGTCATAGACGCCGTTGAGTGAGCATGTGTATTGTGTGGCCGTCACAATCAAAATGAGCGAGTAGAGCAATGAATCTGCATCAAATTTTGCGTTAAGCTTGAACATTCCTCTGCAGAAACGATTTGGATGATTCAGAAGGCCACAGCTATGGGCATCTGGTGATTGGCAGCCTCATAATGACAATGCGCCCACTCATGCATCATGTCTCATGCAGAGTTTCTTGGTGAAACATCAAACCACCCAGGTGACTCAATACCCCCAAAGCACAGATTTGGCGCCCCACAACTTCTGGCTTTTCCCAAAACTAAAATCACCTTTGGAAGGGAAGAGATTTCAGACCGTCAATGAGATTCAGGAAAATACAACAGGGCAGCTGATGGCAATTGGAAGAACTGGATGAGGTCCCGAGGTGCCTGCTTTGAAGGGGTTTGATGTGTCATTGTCCTGTGTACAATGTTTCTTGTATCTTGTATCTTCTTCAATAAATGTCTCTATTTTTTGTATTACATGGCTGGATACCTTCTGGACAGACCTTGTACACATGACCCATAGACATGAACAAAGTTGGGGGGACTGCCTAAGGGGAGTGGGGGGCAAAAGGGGAAAATTGGGACAACCGTGACAGCACAATCAATAAAATATTTTAAAAATAAATTAAAATGTGGGGGGAAAGCAAGAAGGAAGGATAAGGCAAGCTCATAAATGACTGTAATCAAGACAGAACATGATGAAGTACATTAGGAAAAATATAAGTAAAAACATCATTGCATACATAGAAAGGAGAGAGCTCATCAAAAAGGTTCTGTATAAGATTGAGTACAACCTGGCTCTTAACGTCTAAGTTTTCTACAGGTAGTGTTGCGGGGGAGGGAATTACAAGAAAAAGGTAAGTTGGGCATGTGTCCAAGAATAATTGATCTGGCCTATTTGGTAATCTTGTTGCTAGAACTGAAATGGCAAAAGATTCAAACATAGTCCTAGCTGGTGTGGCTCAGTGGATTGAGCACTGGCCTGCAAACCATAAGGGTTGACGGTTCGATTCCCAGTGTCGGACATGTGCCTAGGTTGCAGGACAGGTCCCCAGTAGGGGACGAGCGAGATGCAACCTCACATTGATGTTTCTGTCCCTCTCTTCCTACCTCCTTTCCCTTCTCTAATAAATTAAAATAATTTTTTTAAAAGACCTTCCTTAAAAAAAGAGATTCAGAGATAGTAGGGAAGTAAATGCCCAACACATTTTAGGAAATGCTTTGAAAGACATCATCTTACCAAAATATGATTTATAAAGAACTAAGGAAATGCCTTTTTTCCCCTAAGGATGATGTGTAATGAATTGTGACACAAGAGAGCTAATTGACTTGTAAACATCATTTAGATCTTGAAATCAGATTAAAAATGTAATCTATCTTTGCTTTAGTACCATTGCTCTAGTGTCTGTGGTAACATATATACATCTGGATATTTTTTAAAAGTTAATTCTGGCTTATGGGACATTTTGTAATTCCTCAGCATTTTGTATTAGGAATTTTCTTACCAGTTAGAACTTCAGGTAGAGTTCAGATTTAGTTGGGAGAATACCAATTATCTGTGAGACATAATTTTTCCAAAGTAGAACAATTATGGCCAAATGGAAAATAGAGTTCAAAAACTACATCACACTGTGTCTACTGCTATCATGTGTAAAATAGGAGTACTGCCGGTATTGCATTACTTTTTGCCAGTGGTGGTGAACAATATTATGAAGGAGTAGTTCATACATGTACCCTAGGTATATATGTACCTTGGACCAAATGTAGTTTTGCTTCTGCTTATTTTTGATAGTACTAATTCTAAAGCAAAATTCTATTTTACTTACCCCTTCCACTTTTTCTAACTTGATGTACATCCAGGATTCTACTGTTAAGGTACTTACCATGGTGCAAAGTGGCTTTACACATGTTCCTCCTTAATTCTGGTGTGCTCAGAGCAGTTGACCCAGAAAGGTAGACTGAGTTGGGAGGCCTGCAACAAGTGAGAGGCGGCTGGTGTTGAGAACATGGCCTCTGGAATTGGGCATTGCTCCCACACCATCCCGATTATACTGGGCAAGGGATGCAAATGTCTGGAAGAATTTAAAGTCTTCTTCTGTATTATGTTCATAACACCCACCCCATTAGACTTGCTTACCGATTAAGTGAGGCATATTTGTAAAATGCTCAGCTCAGTTCCTGGCATTAACAAAGGCAGCTTTAAAAAAAGTCACCAAACTCAGAGATTTGGAAAGAAATGTCTTCTTGCCCTGGTTGGGTGGCTCAGTTGGTTGGAGTGTGTGTTTTCCCACACACCAAAAGACTGCAGGTTTGATTCCCAGGTAGGGGACATACCTAGCTTGCAGATTCAGTCCCTGGATGGGGTGCATTTGGAAGGAAACAGATCGATTTTTCTCTCTTACGTTGATGTTTCTCTCTCCCTTCTCTCTCTAAAATCAATAAACATGTTCTTGGGTGAGGATTTTTTTAAAAAAAGAAAAGCAAAGTAATGTCTTTTTTAAGGAGCCAGTCTATTCCTAAACAGTCACCCTATTCTACTGTGCAGAAAAGTAACTGTTCAATAGAAAAATTTTGGAGATTCTAAAATGCGCACTTTTTTTCCCACTTCCAGGTATACGTCAGTCAAGTCTGTGAGGATGTCCTCTCTGGTCCCCTGAATTCCCCCGTGCAGCTGGCGGGACTGAGATTGTTAACAAACATGACAGTTACCAATGACCACCAGCACCTGCTTAGCAATTACATCACAGACCTATTCCAAGTGTTGCTTACAGGAAATGGAAGCACCAAGGTATGAAGGAATTGGTTATTACTCAAAAGTAAGAGCTGTTGCATCAAGCTTATGAAGGAGTTGTTAAAATTGAATTTACAACTCCCTAAAAAAAAAAGTTTATTTAAAGTGTATTAAAAACCCTTACATAGGCCCAAGAAAGTAAATTATTTTTATCCCCTAATATTGAATTTCAAAATTAACTTGTGAAAATGATATATTTCACTTATCAATAGATTGTTATTTACTTGGTTTTCTGCAGACCACTTTACCTTTTACTGAAGGGTAGCTAGCTTCCCACCCTCCATCAGAATGGAGTCTCAGTGATAGTGCTGGTTAATTGAAGTTTTGCTTACCTTCGGGTTAACAAAACACCTTTGATTCAGCCATTTTTGGTTGAAAAGTCTTTCTAAAACTACTCTATAAAGTTCTAGTAAGGAATGTCTCACTGCTTCACTTCGACCTGGTATGTAGACAAAGGAGGCAGTAGATTGAGATGAATTAAGTAGGATCTCAGGAGACATCCTATGAAAGTTACTTGAGTAATCCCCTCATATTAGTGCTCATTCTTTTTTTTTTTAATATATATATATTTTATTGATTATGCTATTACAGTTGTCCCATTTTTTTCTCCCCTTTATTCCCCTCTGCCTTGCTCCCCCGCCTTCTACCAGCATCCTCCTCCCCGCCTTAGTTCATGTCCATGGGTCCTGCATATCAGTTCTTTGGCTTCTCCATTTCCTATAATATTCTCCCTGTGCCTATTTTGTACCTACTATTTTAACTTATTCTCTGTACCTTTCACTCATCATCCCCTTACCCCCTCCTCGCTGATCTCCATTTCTTTGATTCTGTTTCTATTCTAGTTATTTGCTTAGTTTGTTTTTGGTTTTGCTTTTTTGAGGTTCAGTTGTTGATCGTTGTGAGTTTGTTGTCATTTTACTGTTCATAGTTTTTGATCTTCTTTTTCTTAGGTAAGTCCCTTTAACATTTCATATGATAAAGGCTTAGTGATAAAGAACTCCTTTAAATTGACCTTTTCTGAGAAGCACTTTATCTGCCCTTCCATTCTAAATGATAGCTTTGCTAATAGAAGTAATCTTGGATGTAGATCCCTGACTTTCATGACTTTAAATACTTCCTTGCAGCCCCTTTTTACCTGCAAGGTTTCTTTTGAGAAATCAGCTGATAGACTTATAGGCACTACTTTGAAGGTAACTGTCTCCTTTTCTCTTGCTGCTTTTAAGATTCTCTTCTTCTCTTTAATCTTGGATACTGTAATTATGGTGTGCCTTGGTATGTGCTTCCTTGGGTCTAATTTCTTTTGGACTCTGAGGTTCCTGGACTTCCTGGAAATCTATTTCCTTGGGCAGATTGGGGAAATTCTCCCTCATTATTTTTTCAAATAAGTTTTCAATTTCTTGCACTTCCTCTTCTTCTTCTGGCACCCCTATGATTCAGATGTTGGAACATTCAAAGTTGTCCCAAAGGTTCCTAAGCCTCTCCTTAGTTTTTTAAATAATTCTTTCTTCATTCTGTTCTGGTTGAATGTTTATCTCTTCCTTCTGCTTCAAATCGTTGATTTGAGTCCTGGTTTCCTTCTCTTTACTGTTGGTTCCCTGTATATTTTTCTTTATTTCACTTTGCATAGCCTTCACTTTTTCCTCCATTTTGTGACCATAGTCAAGCATTTCTGTGAGCATCTTGATTACCAGTGTTGTATTTTAAGATTAAAAAAATTTATTTTAATTTTTTAATTTTAAGATTAAAAAAATTTATTTTAATTTTTTAATTGTTCAAATACATTTGTCTCCATGTTCCCACCACCACTTGCCCCTGCCCTACCCACCCCCACCTCCCACCCTCAATCCTCCCCCACTTTGGCTTTGTCCATGGGTCCTTTATACATGTTCCTTGATTTGGCCCTTCCCCTTCTTTTCCTCAGTAACCCCTCTCTCCTCCCCTCTGGAAACTGTCGGTTTCCTTTTCTTTCAATGTCCCTGGTTATATATTTCTTGCTTGTTTGACTTGTTGATTAGGTTCCACTTATAGAACAGATCATATGATATGTGTCTTTCAGGCCCTGGCTTATTTCACTTAGCATAATGCTCTCCAGTTCCATCTGTGCTGTGGTGAAGTAGTAGCTTGCTTGCTTGCTTTCTGCTGCATAGTATTCCATTGTGTAAATGTAGCATAGTTTTTTGATCCACTCATTTATTGCTGGGCATTTAGGTTGCTTCCAGCACTTGCCTATTGTAAGTTGTGCTGCTATGAACATTGGGGTGCATAGGTTCTTTTGAATTGGTATATTGGGATTCTTAGGGTATAATCTGAACAGTGGAATTGCCGCCTCAAAAGGCAATTCCATTTTTAGTTTTTTTAGGAAATTCCAATCTGTTTACCACAGTGGCTGCGCCAGTCTGCATTCCCACCAGCAGTGTACTAGGGTTCCCTTTTCTCCACAACCTTGCTAGCACTTGTTGTTTGTTGATTTGTTTATGATGGCCATCCTGACTGGTGTGAAGTGGTATCTCATTGTGGCTTTAATTTGCACCTGTCTGATGGCTAGTGATGCTGAGCATCCTTTCATATGTCTCTGGGCCCTGTGTATGTCCTCCTTGGAGAAGTGTCTGTTCAGGTCCTTTGCCCACTTTTTAATTGGACTTTTTGTCTTCCTGGTGTTGAGTCATATGAGTTCTTTATATGTTTTGAAGATCAAACCGTTGTCCAAGGTATCATTGGCAAGTATATTTTTCTATACGGTTGGTCCATTTTCATTTTGCTGATGTTTTCTTTAGCTGTGCAGAAGCTTCCTATTTTGATGAAATCCCATTTGTTTATTCTTTCATTTATGTCCCTTGCTCTAGAAAACATATCAGTGAAAATGTTGCTGTGTGGAATATATGAGAGTTTTCTGCCTATGTTCTCCTCTAGGACTTTTATGGTGTCATGACTTATGTTTAAGTCTTTTCTCCATCTTGAGTTTATTTTTGTGTATGGTGTAAGTTGGTGGTCAAATTTCATTTTCTTTTTTTGCATGTAGCTGTCCAGATCTCCCAACACTATTTGTTGAAGAAGAGGCTATTTTTACTCCATTTTATGCTTCTGCATCCATTGTTGAATATTAATTGACCATAGAGATACGGGTTTATTTCTGGGCTCTGTACTCTGTTCCATTGATCTGTGTGTATGCTCTTATGCCAGTACCAGACTTTTTTGATTACAGTGGCCTTGTAATATAGTTTGATGTCAGGTATTGCTATCTCTCCTATTTTGTTCTTCTTTCTCGAAATTGCTGCAGCTATTCAGGATCATTTTTGGTTCCATATTAATTTTGAAATGTTCTATATCTATGAACTATGTCATTGGCATTTCAATAGAGATTGTGTTGAATCTATAAATTGCTTTGGGTAGTGTGGATATTTTGATGATGTTAATTCTTCCAGTCCATGAACACAGTATATGCTTTGATTTATTTGTGTCTTTTTTCATTTCTTTCTTCAGTGTTGTATAGTTTTCTGCATACAGGTCTTTTACCTCCTTAGTTAAGTTTATTCCCAGGTACTTTGTATTTCTTGTTGCTATAGCAAATGCATTTTTCCCCTGATTTCTGATTCTGATATTTTATTTTTGGTGTACAAAAATGCCTTCAATTTCTGAATATTGACTTTGTATCCTGTTGTTTTGCCAAATTCTCTTATTAGGTCGAGTAGTTTTTTGGTGGAGTGTATAAGATTTTTTATGTACGCTATCATGTCATCTGCAAACAATAATAGTTTTACTTCCTCCTTTCTAATTTGGATGCCTTTTATTTCTTTTTCTTGTCCGATCCCTGTGGCTAGGCCTTCCAATACTATGTTGACTAGAAGTAGTGAAAGCGGACACCCTAGTCTTGTTACCAATCTAAGTGGGAAAACTTTTAGGTTTTTACCCGTTGAGTATGATGTTGTCTGTAGGTTTTACATATATGGCCTGTACTATGTTGAGGTATGACCCCTTTATTCCCACTTTGCTGAGTGTTTTTATCATAAAAAGGGTGGTGTACCGTATCATATGCTTTTTCCGCATCTCTTGCTATGATCATGTGATTTTCGTCTTTCCTTTTGTTTATGTGATGTATTACGTTTATTGATTTGCAAATATAGAACCATCCTTGCATCCCTGGGATGAATCCTACTTGATCATGGTAGATGATCTTTTTAATGTATTGCCAGATGCTGTTTGCTACTATTTTGTTGAGGATTTTAGTTTCTATGTTCATCAGCAGTATTGGCCTGTATTTTTTGTCATTGTTGTGTCTCTATCTGGTTTTGGGATTAGGATGATGCTGGCCTCATAAAAAGAGTTTGGGAGCCTTCCCTTATCTTGGATTTTTTGGAATAGCCTGAGAAGGACAGGAGTTAGCTCTTCTGAAACCGTCCGGTCCAGGGCTTTTGTTTGCCAGGAGTTTGTGATTTCTGCTTGAGTTTCACCAGCTGTTATCAGTCTGTTCAGGCTTTCTGCTTCTCTTCATTCAGTGTTGGAAGGTTATCTTTTTGTAGAAATTTGTCCATTTTATCAAGGTTTTCAAATTCCTTGGCATATAATTGTTCCTTGGCATGTAAGTAATTTCTTACAATCCTTTGTATTTCTGTGGTATCGGCTGTAATTTCTCCTCTATCATTTCTGATATTTATTTGGGTCCTCTCCCTTTTTTTCTTGATGAGTCTGCCTAAAAGGCTTGTCGATTTTGTTTATCTTTTCAAAGAACCAGCTCCTGGATGTGTTGATCCTTTGAATTGTTCTTTTAGTCTCCATGTCATTCAATTCTGCTCTGACCTTGTTTACTTCCTTCTACTCACTCTGGGGATTTGTTTGTTATTTTTTCTCCACTTCTTGAGGATGTAGGGTTAGTTTATTTATTTGAAATGTTTCTATCTTTTTTAGGTAGGCCTGTATTGCTATGAACTTCCTCTCAGGACTGCCTTCACTGTGTCCCATAGGTTTTGGACTGTTGTGTGTTCATTTTCATTTGTTTCCAC